ATTAGCTACAATATATATATCTATGACTGAGTCACCTGTTAAAGTTAATCCTTTTAAGGATCTGTTTACATAATAAAGTGTGCCAGTGCTTATTAGTGCGAGGGATAACTGTCCGTTTGCGATTTCAGAGAAAAATAACAAAATAACTGTTTTACCACAATTGGGTGAATTGTTGCATGCCAGTTAGAGTATGCCTAAAGTGCGAAACAATTCTTAGCTAATTAGTGCTAATAGTATCTATTTACTAGGGTCTAAAGAGTCTTCAAGTAACTAAGAATTCTCTGAGGCACAAACACAATGACAAAGGAATCCAAAGACAGCTTTTATTTTCATTGCACTTCTTTTGTCAATCAGTCACTGTGTCTATTCTTAGACTATCCGGTATGTCTCATCAAATTAAAAATTGTTTCACACTTCTGTGGGATCCACTCTAGCACACAACAACTAAACAGATAAAATTTTAACTTTAAATTTGAGTGGCATTGGTGTTTCAGTTGTGACGCGAGGAAAATTGCACACTATAACAAGATAAAAAGGACACTGATGTTTTCAGACATTTGTCCTTTGTTGCAGTAAAAAAAGAGAAAAGTAACAATTACAGTATTTTTTTTATATACTTCAGCAAGGTGGTTCATTGTATTTTTGTAAAGCACATAACATCATCTCTAAATATTTCATCTGACAAACAGTTAATTGGTCATTAATTATCTGAAAAAAAAAACATCACCAAAGCATTGTTATGCTTTGCTATTGAAATATTAGAAATTGAATATGGCCACACTAAGTGTCACACAACACTGAGATTTAAAACAAATTCCAGAAAATTATTTGATATATTTTCTTGAATTATTGATGCTAAATAAAACAAAAAGTACCAATACTCAAGGCAAACGAGTTTTGATGATATATTTCTTACAACAGTTGGAGATTTTGGTTTGTATCTACCATGTCGGTGTATGCCATCAAGGTCACCACATGTATATTCTTACCGAAATATGCCTGCTGTTTGATTGGCTGTGACTTGTCAACCACACACTACTTCAGTACTTCCTGTACATTTCAATGATAGATGTATAAACTAAGGAAGATAGATATATCAAGGAATAGCCGACTTTAGATATTTTGGTTCAGTAACCATGCACAAAAGAATTGCGGACGAGGCTCCGGGGAAATAAAAGAATAAATCAAGATTATCCATTGTTTCCCCAGAGCCTCGTGTGCGTTTTTTTGTACATAGTAATCGAACCAAAATATCTAAAATCGGCTATTGAAATACCCTTTTTGAAGCTAGTGAATTTGGAGAGAATAGTCCCCTTCACGGTTCCCTGTGCCATCTTGAAAAATCACCTTGCCTTTACATCAAAGCGAGACAACCGTTGAGCATGCAATGATAGAAACCTGTGAATAATTGTCTGTAGGTGTAAAAGAAGGTTTCTATCATTGCATGCTCAACAGTCGTCTTGCTTGGATTCAAAGGCACAGCTACCTTTCAAGATAGCGCAGGGAACTGTGAAGAGGACTATAAGTCAAGCCCTTATCTCAACTGTGACAAAATAACAAGACATACAAGCTGTGCTTACGTCATCTGCACTAAGCTGGAAAAAAGAGGGGTTCATGACATCATATATATTCAGTTTTTAGAAAAAAATCAATTTACAAGTATCTTTTGTTTATTCAGATATGGAGAAGCTCCTTGATCTTTGGAGGATTGTTTGTAGAGAAGCTCTTTTAATTTTCTTAGGCTTGTGCATATAAGCTCCTTTCAAAGTTCAATATTTNTCCTGTGCTGTCACCGGAAGGCCGTGTTGCAGCAATGTTAGAGAAAATCGGACAAGAAGTTATGGACACATATCCACACTTACTAGACGAGCCACTAGAGTTGACTCGCTGTTGGAATTTCACTGAATTTACTTACGAACAGTTTGAAAAAGCTGCCAGAAAAGTGACTTTAGATAGTGGCTTGGTTGGCTGGTCAAAAGTTGCATTGTTGTGTTACTTTGCAAGGGAAATTACACTTGAATCACCAACAGAACTTACTGATAAAGATCTTGTAAAACTTGCTGAATATACTCTAAGATTCATTGAGGAAACAACAGGAGAATGGATTGAAACTCAAGGGGGATGGGTAAGTCAGCATTTGTACACTGATATTTGTTTTAGGGCCACAAGTTTATTAGTGGTTTCCACTATTTAGTGCTACCCTCTCTAAATAAAGTTGCTACTACTACTTGCTACTACTACTACTACTACCTACTACTACTGCTACTGCTACTGCTACTGCTACTGCTACTGCTACTGCTACTGCTACTGCTACTGCTACTGCTACTATTGCAATACAGTGCAAACACTAAAAACATGAAAAACTACCAAATAAATAGTACAAGACGTATTAATTCTGCAGTAGAAATTAAGACCTTTTTTTAATTATGAGTTGTATTTCATGGATTTGTGTTTGGAATCTTTTCCAGTCTACTCTTACATTTATTGCTGCTGTTGTTCTTTTATATTATTGTATGAGACAACAGAGTGTGCAGGGGTTACTTTTAAAAGTGGTCAGAAGTGCCTTGAATACTTATAAATTATTACTATATCTGGCTCCTTGAAATATGTCTTTTGTATAAAACTTTTGAATGAATATCAACATAGCATGAATTTTAGAACTCTCAACTTAACATGAAAAAAGAATCCAGTATCTACAATGTAGTTTATCAATGACAATGATAAATATGCAATTTTTCAAAGAGATTAAAGTGGTGAAGATATGATTTTTTCAAAACTCTATTTTGCAAAGAAATGTATTGCAGCCAACAATCCATGCCTTGTGAGCCTTGTTTTCATGATAAACACAAAGAAAATATGAAACTTTAAAAGTCATATGTTTGTCAAACAGATTGAAAACCCTTATATCATTGTACCAAGTAGAAATAATAATAAATATTTCATCAACAGGCTGGGCTAGAGGTTGAAGAGGATGAGATTCTAACAGCTGAATCGCTTGCTTACAAATACAGAGAGCAGGAAAATACCATTGAATTGAAACGACTACGACATGCTCGACAACATCATCGRAAAAGCAGAGATAGCACTTCCTGGAATAGCTGGACAAAATATGGACTGGCAGCCATTGCCTTGGGCGTTGGTCTGTGTTACTCGCTTACTAGACATTAGAAATATTTGGCTCAAAGGTGCAAAGCACAGTTCACTATATACATCCTCTATAGCCTGCATAGTGGCTTTAGGGGAAGGGAAACGGGGAAAAATACAGAACCCCCCTCTCCTTCCGTTTTCCCCCTTCACCCCTCCCCTAAAGCCATTACACAGGCTACATACTCTAGGAGGCCTGGGCGTTTTGGAGATTTGTGTTTCCTGTGTTCAGATGATAAGTACTACATTGAACTTCTAGTTATGTTATCATCTGGAATTGTGTTAAGGCTATTGTGCATTCAAGAACCTTAGGGTGATTTTCTCATATGGAAATTTGGCATCTTTGATTTTCAACCAATCAGAAAGCAGCTTCCATCAAGAGATAATTTGTAAAACAAAAGAAATGGTTGCAAAAGGCTTTTGGTTCCATGTGGTCCTTTAAAGACCAAATTAGCAACACAACTTTTCTCTACAACCATCGCATGCGACCTGCATAAGCCATCCTTACAACATGGCTACAACTGTTGTAGGGCTATTAAGCAATTGTAGGCATGTTGTAAGGACGACTTGCACAGGCTGCCTTTGATGGTTGTGGGCGAAAGTTTGCCATCTAATTTGGCCTTTAGATATGTCTTTGGTCTTGTCTACAGGGATGCTTATTTATGTAGGTGATGGCCCAAGTTACCATGAACTAAACTTTAATGGTCAGGCCATAATATTTCAACAAAACAGTCAGTTGAAGTAAAATTCTTTGAATTATTTAGAGATGGTGGTAAAATGATTGTAATTCACAGTCAAACAAATGAACTATTGTGAGAATTTGAAATTCTGCCTGTCATGTTTTATATGATACTTATGACACAGATCTAATTTATTGTAAAATCCTATTTATTACACAAGTTACTATCAAATATATATTAACAAAATAATGCAATCATTATTATTTATTAATATGATTATTTTTTTCTTGTTGTGCTATCTTGGTCTCCTTTATAGCAGACTCTTTGGAGGAGTCTAGTACTGTGTTATCTAGATTGTATTAGTGCATCCTCAGAAACCCAGGTACTGGCAGGTKCTTGTCAGAATAGTCTAGAAGAGACCTGCATGAACTCTTGGCTTTCCAAGCAATCTAACTGATTTTTGTGTGAAAATAGTGGATTTCRAACATACCAATGACATCAGGCTCTGTCAACTTTGCATTTCTGATATCGAAGTTGTGGAGCTATTGCAAACATGCATGATTTTATATAGTATTATTTTTTTGCCACTTTGAAGTTTAATCTATTGTAGCCTGTGTCAGAGCAGCTCTAGGGAAGGGGGAAAACAGGAGGAGAGGGGATTGTTTTGCCCTTGCCCACTCCCCTTCAGTTTTCCTCCTTCACCCCTCACCTGGTGTGGCAATTAATATGTTACTAACACAATATTTTTAACAACAAAAAAATGTTAATAGAATTTCTTTGAGTGCAGGCATTTAGTTGTTTATTGATAAAGATCTGTGCATGATAAAAAAGCCTTATTTACGCAGAAGAAGCACAATCTTTATCTATAAATAAAAAAATATTGACACAATAATTTTGCAGGCTATAAAGGTTGGCGCTGTTGCCACAATCGTTTCTTGTTAAGGGCTGTCACACAGCCTTGAATCCAGTCTAGTGTTTGGACAGGCAACCCTTTTGTTAAGCTTCCTGGAGAAACAGGAAGCCCGGTCTGCATAGGAGTCTACTCTCCAAAATACTCACATCATGAATATGATCGGCATCTTTGATCATATTGTCACACAACAATTGGCTTTGTGCCGTCACACAACACTTTTCCAAAAAGCAAATGCTCAGCTCCTCCATAGCTAAGATATATGTTTAACATAAATAAGACATTGCTAGGCTTAGTTACCGTCCTTTCATTTCAATCTTTCTCAATTTGCTTGATTGCGTTTCGTTACCGATATTGGACTGGGGGCTGTACGTGACAGTATCTAGTGTCATATTGGTCTTCCTGTGTATGATGTTGCGTCTATCGGTCAAGTGGAACAGTTAAGTTTCTCCAGATTATGTCTGGTCTGATTATCGAACAACATTTTTAAGACACATTCTTTACTCGAGATAACCTCATCTGTGGCATAAGGCTCGCCTTAACTACATTKCTGTGTTTCACGAGCGATTACAATGGCTTTCTTGATGTAAAGTTGTCACAAACTATGGCCTACACCGACGAAATTATACAGTTTGTAAGACTAGAGCTGTCAAAATCTTATAGCGATCATAAAATCATTGTTGCTCCTTGCGGGGCCGAGATCTACACATCAAAAACAAAAGACTTTCTTAAAAAACCTTCTGATGTGAAATGGAAGTTGGTCGGCTCGGGCCTTCTTGCTGTGGTATACAACACGAAGGCGAACCGCGAGTGTTTGGAACTTTGTCTCGCTGCTCCAAAGTCCGCTRCAATAATCTGGAAAGAAACTGTCGTACCATTCACAGTGATTGACTGTCCTCATCCGACGTTTCACACTTTAACYAGTGCAAGAAACTTTCAAGAACGAGCGGGGATATTGTACGACAATAAAAGTGTTGCCAGACTTGTGTTTCAAGTAATGACTATGTTTACATCACATCATCAATCTTCAAGCACTTCAAAAAGAGTGCAAAGATCTTTATCATTTTCGGTGGCCCCGAGACAAACTGCTCGACCAGTATTACGTAGAAGTGCTTTCGAGATTTGTACACTTGCTTTATCAAAGGTACATATCCAACAAGCATTCAGTACTAACGTTATTCAAGTTTCTAAAGGAATTGCAACAGTTTGCTCAAGCCCTCATAAATCTCCACAAGAAAGACGACTTACTCGGTCAAAATCAGACATATCACAACCATTGGGAATGTTAACGACAGATTTATGTACAACAGAACTATGACAGAATAATTCTGTACGTTTTGGGACATACTACTGATGCTCAGTGGTGTAATATAATTTTAATTGCTTTGGTGTTTATGTTAGTTTACACAACACAAATTGTTGATCTTTTGTGGCGTTCTAATAAGCGGGCGCTTTGTAACTCACWAAAGTATAATATGATTATCATGGAGAGAGAATTTTATAGATTTCCTATGGTAACTTAGATCTTTGACTTAGTAAATAAGATTTTTAAGAGAATACTCTACATTTCACGGATTGYGAAGACATTGCGCGAAAACCGCAAAAAATGACACACTTGGTAAAGTGTGGACTGGACTGGACTGAGGATAACTGGACTTATAAACAAAATTACAAACGACGTTTAAAAAGTAGGGATGTTTATCATGTCGCTCTGCATCTTTAACACAAAAAGAAGTCCATATAGAAGAGGTTAATATAGTAAATTCAATTTGCAACATTTTTCTGGCTTGCTTTTTTAAACTGCGCCGACCTTTCGGTTTGATTGAAATTACTTATTGGTGAAACAAACCGGCTGCCCGCAGGCATCTAAAYGGAYTAACATCAAAAGTTTCGGATCTCCAGACTGCTTACAAGTCATCARCAGCGGTGTYAGTACAKTAGTTAAACGAGAATACAGTCAGAACAAGGAAATGATCAACGATTCAATAGTTTGAGCTCTAAATAGCTAGCTCTCATGAATTCCGTGAATGTAGGTAGCATAGACGCCATTTTGTGAAACGTTGTAGTCCTCGCACTTCCRTTTTAACATGCCCACTAAAACAGAAACCCTAGGCCGTTCTGTCTTTTTCTTTGCGGTAAAAATAGAAGYAGTTGAGCCTTTTTTAACGTAAAAAGGCTTTTAGTGATTTTTTTTTTACTTGGGCTATAAAAAGTGTCGAGGACTAAAATGGCAGCGATGCACATTTGTGTAAATAAAGATAAATTTAACACCGTAAAAAAGAAGGTAAAACAACTTACTGACGTTAATCTTTCTTTACTCCGACGAAGGATTAACGTCCGAAATGTCAGTAACGCCGCGTTTTCACCTACTTTTTTACGGTGTTAAACTTGTCTTTTTACACAACTGTTTCTCTAAAAACTCCGATTCAGCTCACAYTAGTTTACCGCTAGTTTCCACCATTCCGTCGATGGACTTTGACACTTTTTGTTAGAATGGCGTCAGCTGAATTTTATCCGCCAGATAAGGATTTATCCTGGGATARAACGCTTATACAGGATTTTGTTCGACACCAGTGCCACTGTGTTCTGAAACATAGCCCCAAAGTATTTTTGTCAGGACACGGTGAAATGAAAACAAAGCAAAACATAATCAGATTGGTCTTACGTTTAATTCTTGTACCGGACTAAAGCCTCTATAAGTTCGGGACTTTTCTTCTTTGACGATGCAGTGCATGAACTTGCAAGTTTTTCTGGGTCCTTGTTTTTCACGGGAAAGTCCCGGTGCAAGTGTGAGACTGAAGTGTCGCTCCAAATTCAAATAAGCTCGAAACATTATATTTTGAAAAAAAAAAACACAATAACTTTCGCAAGCTAAACACAGCAGAAACTGAAAGGAATTTAATTGGTACAGTTCGACGACAGCCATGACAACAGTTTTGTTTCGGTACATGCGGTCTATTGAACCAGGCTTCACTCAACGATTCCGCACCCTATATCACTACAATCCGCTTTTCATAATCCAGTCCAAGTTTCATTCCTGATTTTACGACATTCACAAAAATGCCGACTTTACACATTTGTGGTCTTCGCCACCCACAGTCTCGAATTTCCTGCGAATTCGTGTTGAATGATRCTTCAGTGAGCATGTCATTTGACTTCCAAATATGACTTCTTTTCCTGCCGATATTTATGTACGAGGTTAATTGCTCACCTCGTAAAGGCACAATAATTTGAATTGAACTTTTGATGTATTAATGCATTTAATTGTAGTATTACAAATTTTTCGACGGAAATGATATTTTAAATATTGACAATTTACTTGGACAAGGTTGGGTGCGGACAAAGAAAGGTTTGCGTCCACAAGCCGGACGCCGTGGAAACGAACAAGGATCCATGTGCTGGAAGTCGCGACATCCCTGTCAGGGGTGGATTGTTAGGTCGTCTCGTTTAGATGTGCGCTCTGTCGTTTAGAGAAAAAATCGTGGGACACTATTGTTATGTTAATTATCATTTCCGGTCCTTAAGAGGGCGCGTATGGGCGKGCTAGTATTGCATTCAAAATCTTCTCACAATCATTCTCAAAAAGGTATTTCGCATTGAAAATTCACGAAAATTTGTTAAATTTTAGAGACTGTTCGTTGACTCCCCAGACATAGGGGGAGACTGGGGTTTAATTTTTTTTCGGTGCAATTTTTTCAAAAACACAGGGCTTTATGATTTTAGGGTTGCACATTTTTGAGTTGTAAGCGAACAGTAAAAACCGCCCCCTCTTGACAATGATTATTAGGAAAAGGCCAATATCACATCAGATTTTGAAATACCAAGAAGAGCACCCCCGGAATTCTATGTTTTCATGGGACGTCAACAAATACGATATATGAAATTTAGATCGAATAGAAACGCCAGTTATATATATGACAGATAACTATTACGTAGTTTAGGAAAAAGAATTCTTAAAATGTTTATATCAAAAATGGGAGCCAAATAATCAATAGTTGTGCATCATTGGAAGTGCTATTTTAACTGATATATTGTCTTTAGGAAAAGGATGAAGTTTTCTGAAGTTTCTTCAGAGGGATATAGGAAGACAACATAAGAATGGTCACTTCTTAGACTTCTGAATCTTTTACGTCACTACTTGATTTTCAATGCATTGTGGGATCAGTTTCAAGAGAAAACAAAAGAAATCCGCCATGTTTTGTCCCAAACATGTCCTACAATGCATTGCGTATACGGTACATGACGTAAAAGCTGCATAGGTCTATAGACAATGCGAAGTGACACCATTTTAAAAAGCAAAGCATGATGGGAGTTGTACGAAATCCAAACACGTTTTATGGCCCACTAAAAAATCTCCCTAAACTGTTTTTATGATTTTCTATGTAGAAATGGCTCAGGCTAGGGCGCTTTCGCAGAACTGTCCAGCCAGTCCGCTCTATTTAGAGTATATTATGCTTTTTGTCAACATTTTTCAGTCATTTCGAGGTTTTCTATAGTGAATGTATAGAATTGAAAATTTGAATTTCCCAACTAAATAGAAATGACATATAATGACATTTTTTCTGGGTCTGGCCATGCCAGCCAGTTCTTACAAATGGAAAGCGCCCTAGTTCTTCTATTTTTTTTTTTCAAAGAAAAAGCAAAATACAAAAACAGCTTCTAAAATGTTAATGAACATAACAAAAGAGCAAGAAATACAACTACCACACGCACATGGTATTTTCAGACACAGAATAAGGGGACGTCACACAGGAGGGGGTTCCTACCAGCTGGCCTCTCAGACTGATGTAATTGATGCATTATTACTGAATGTATGCAAGTAACTACAGCTGCTCAGAGTTAACTGTTAATGATGTCAAACAAAACTCACTCATCTGTAGAAAACCAGACTAAATATGATCTTGAATAAAAACTCACTCTCAGCAGAGTGCAACACAGGACATAACTACAGCTGCTCAGAGTTAACTGTTAATGATGTCAAACAAAACTCACTCATCTGTAGAAAACCAGACTAAATATGATCTTGAATAAAAACTGTAAGAACATTGATTAGCTTGCTCAGAGAATTTTGCCAACAATCTCAGTCTAGTCTCTCAGACAATGTTTTTAACAATAACAGATTTTGTATTGCATCCATTTTTCCTCCATAATTTTCTTTAAATATGTATAGACTGTACTCGCATACGGCCAAATGTAATGGCATAGTAGCTTCTATCGCTTCCAAGAGGGTGCCCTAGGTTCTGTAGACACCTTGGAGCCGWTAATGTTTCACCAAATTAGCTTCTTTAGCAGGCATCAGTAGTTCACATCASCATGCTGATCAAGGTAAGAAAGGCTTCATACTAACAGCAATACACATGTCTTTGTAAACTTTATTATTTTTGTTTATTTTTATCTCAAAAGAAAATGAAAATGAAAAATGGCAATCAAAAGTGAAAGGATATCAGGTAGCATATTCTTTTTTATTACTGTCATTGTCATTTTATAAAGTTAATTYATATGTAAGCTTTTTACAAACACTTTTACATTAAAAACAACAAAATACTTGTATCATTGAAAGGTTGTTTGACATAATCTTAAGGTGGCTGTGCAATAGTTTTTACAGCTCACTGACAGTCACAAAATCAAAACAAAAGCRGACAATAAGAGTGTGGTTTGATATGTGTCAAATGGTCTTAACTTGCTGTTCTATAGTCTTATTGTAATCACAGTACATTAGCAGCAAAGATTTGAATAAACCCATTGGTCTATATGGCTCAGTGTGGTTTAATAATACAATACAACTGAAAGCCACAAAACATATGGTAATTCAAATAACCCTTGTCGTTCAACCAATAGTAACTTAATAGTCTCATTATAGCTAGCAGTTATTTTATATTACATTTGTTCAAATGTTTATATACATACATAATGAAACAAAGCAAGAATTTATACAAATACCACTATTTCAATTTTAAAAATTCRACATAATAGAATATTTTTTGGCAGATTTTTTCAGAACTCTTGTTTTGTAAATGAAAAAATAATTGTTATAATAAGTAAAATCTCTGCGGTTCCTTATTTGAAAAAGTTAAYGTCGTCGTAGTAGCTATAGATTAAAATAATATAATTACGAAGGGACCGGTGCTACTATATGCAAATAATGTTCGAAATGGACCGTGATATAAAATATAGCCTTTGATTTTCCAGAAACACTTTTAAAATTGTCTCAATGTACAAAAATATATATTAATACAAGTGCTTATTGTAAAGATTATCGGGACTCAATCTGATATCTCTTTGACCATTGCTCTGTGGACAATGCTAACAATACCCTAGAAATTCGATCCAGGAGGATTTTGGACAAAGTGAAATGCCTTTCAAGTTTGATCSCAACACGAAATACGAAAACTCGATATTTCCTGCAGTAAAGATCGTCTAAAATCTCGTTTTAAGTATTATAAATCGAAATTGACCCTTTTAATTAAGCGCATAGTGTTCAAATTTCCTTAATTCGTCGAGTGTTTGAGCGCTCGAGTAGTCCTCGTTTCAAAGATCCGGTGTCGATACTTTGATTTTCAATGCGCGTTCACCGTCTTTTCTTCGTAACGCTGAAAGCTCTTCGTAGATTTGCCGTTCTACCCGAATGCCCATTCATACTTTTTTTACTGTCTTTRTGTGAATTGTCAGAATCGCTWGAGTTATTTACTCCGTCTCCCACTAGCGTGGCGTTCGTAATGCTTGTGACATGACTGAACAAACACGGGCTAGAGATTTCGTTCTTTTTTAACTTTCGAAACTTTTTAAAGCGTTCTTTTGTAGGCGAACCCTGTACAATCTCGATTTCTGGAGATGATGATGTCTGTAGTACATCGTCAAGGTTAGAAATCACGTCTTTATAGAATAAACTAGCAGAGTCTTCGTTAGCAAATCGTAGTCCGGCCATCACGCCATCACCACTTGATAAAGCTAGTACGTGAAAGTTAGGTTGTTGTTCTCTGTAGTTCGAGTTTGAAGTTATGTGTTCCTTCCATACACAAAAGCCGCTTTGTTTATCCATTAAACTGATGCTCATTCCTTTAGGATTTCGAGCTCCGCTGAGCCCAGTGCTTACAACAATTGCTGGTATACCAGTACGGACATACTGCCACGAGTTGGATGTRTTCTCTCCTATCGGTGGCTGCCAGATATACAAATTTGCCACAGCACTGCAAACGAACACTTTATTGGAGAGACAAGACARAGATAGCTTGATCTTGAATATGTCCTTCTCACCGAGTTTTTGCAGCAATGGATCATCKCCTAAAGCTGGYCGAAGAGACATTGAAGTAAACACTGTTAAGAGGTTGGAATGGACTCAATCCCTCAAACAAATGTATTGTTGATTTCAAATAGTCCATCTGTCAGCGAACTCATATTTGGTCCACAGCGCGAGCATCAATGTCGCTYTGAAAATAAACYATCGAAATAGCCAGAAAAGTTCTCCAAGGAAATAGATAATAACTGTGTCCAGTTCTAGTTGATATTCTCTTCTGGAACGAATGATCGCCGCGTTTGACTGTCGCAAATAACATCTGACGTCAAACGTGTGGTGTCTCCCGAGAACGAGGTGGGGCTTGTGACGTTTGTCACGCATCACGACTTTGTCACTGTCACGCTCATTAATCAGCTCTAATGCGATCATAAATGGAATATAGTAGCTGACTTCATAGGATACTTAAAACATCTCGAATTTTTTTTAGTAGACGAGAAATTCTTTAGATCTTAGGAAACTGGTGCTAATAGTCGAAAGCATTTATAGAACAGGGACAGAATGAGAGACGTGACATTCTTTAATCCAGATAAACTCTCTCTCAATAAATGTAATCGGTGAAGATTATATTATTACCGACCATGGTCATAATATTGTTTGACTCAAGATTATGAAATATGGGGGAGCAAAAGGTCAATTTCGGTTCCGGGATGGCTCACGACGCATTTCTAAAAACAACTCTTGTAAAAAAACACCCTGGAATGCCTTATCCTTCAGCTGGGTTCCAATTACAAAATTCCAGGAAATATCAATGCTTTTTAAGCACAAAAATGCGTTTTTAAGGACTATTTTTTAAGATAWTGTTATAGACGTTTAACGTGGCGATTTTTAAAAATACCCTAATCTGTCATTGATCACATTAAAAGGGTATTCCAGGAGTTTTAGCATTTAAAAGCGCATTTTGAAGGGCTTTCAAGCAACCTTGAAAATTCCAGGACTTATCAAGGATCAAGGAGCAGCAAGAACTCTGTCCTGTTCTAATCGACGTTTTTTTAATGACAAACCGCRAAAATCATCTGCAAACGGGGGCTACATAATGCAAGGTTCACTAAGCTCGTGACGCAAGTGCAAACAGGCAACAAGCARACGAAAAAAATCGCTGAAACGCTTTTAAGTATAGTTTCTTGCATGTGATGTACTAGTSCATTTGAACGCAGGAAATTTGCACTTGCGTTTGATTTTTAGCTGCTTGAATTTTTCGTCTTAAACAGGCTTTAGGCCCGCGTTTCAATTGTGAATTTTCTTTGTCAATACTGACTTCGCATCATGCGTAAGCGCGGGTGTSGATCGGCTCACGAGCACTCTGACGCGAGAGACGCAATACAATGAACCAGTGGCATAGAAAAGAAAATAATAAACGAAAGTAAAATAAAAAAGATCAAGAAATTAAAAGAAAACACTTTTGTACTGATATTTTTAGTTAGGGGCTGTGCAATAAACCACAGTTACCAGGAGGGAGGGGGGGCGTAAAACCAGAGGGGGGCATTACATAAAATTGATGGCAAGATAGAGGGGGGGGGGGCTCAAAGTAAAATTACCCAATTAACAGAGGGGGGGCCTTAAGTTTCATTCAAAATGTTCATAATTTTCGATGTCTCTCAAATTTAAACGCTAGAAATCGCATTTCCAAGAATTATTTGTATAGGAAATCGCACGAACTTGAGTACAATTTGGAATTAATAGTCACGAGTAATGTTTTGAAAGTTCTCGTAATTGCACGAGCATGATACGAAAGGTTGTGCAATTTGTTGTTTATAGTATAGTCAACTTAATTAGAATCAGAATCAGAATGTATTATTTTGTTGAATATACTCAGTAAAAACGTTAATACATAAGCCTTTTTTGGACCTTGAAAATCTTTGCCAGGAACAAAAATATTTGAAAGAAGCAAGGGCGCCACATTTGTCTGTGAGATTTTCCACAATGTAGCCAATGTAAAATCTCTTTAATTTACCTAGGAACAAATTCATACAAGAACAGTTATTTAGCAGAACAGACACCGTCAGCTCCTTCTGAAAGCTTTTGTCTTTACACTTAGATCTTAGTAAGCCACCTCTTGCATCTGGGTTCGTCTTTAGTGAATTTTGCGTTGCTACAGCATGACTCGACTCGCTGGTGCTTGTTTTATAACTAAAGTTAATATAGTCAGGGGGGGGGGGTTCGACGTTATTTCTAATATAGCAGAGGGGGGTAAGAGCTATTTTCTTATGCTTCGGAGGGGGGTTCTGACTAATTTTCTGCTTAAGAAATCTGGTTTTACGCCCCGCTCCTCTCCTGGTAATTATTGCACAGTCCCTTACAAAAACAGATCGAGTGCAAGGTTCGTAGTGTGTGGGGATGGGGATGATTTTTGGCCTTGCAGTTTTGAATAGGGTATAAAATTGACCTTAAACGTTGATAGGGGTATATTTTCCATTTTTACGAACCCTTATACAGGGTGTTAATTTTTATCTAGAAGATTGTAAAAATATGGTAGTTTTTGATGTTTTGAATAGGATCTAGCCTGCGTAGGGAGGGGAGGAGGAGAAAAAACACCCCGGCCCTCCCCTTCTGTTTTCCCCTTCCTCCCTCCACTAGAGCCACTACGCAGACTAAATAGGATCAGGATTGTACCAGCGTAACGTCCCCGTCCGAATCTGGGCGATGTTTACTGTTACACGGTAATTATAACTCTCTAAGCCTGTGAAACAAATAGCAGAGTGATTTGCATTCACGATTAAACAACGAAAAACAAGCGCACAATAAGTGTAGTATATCAGTGCTGAAGTGTGTCATTCACAGTTTTAAGTTCAAAGCACTCTCTTTATCATCAGTCGCTCCATCAGTAAGGTAGTCTTTGATCCAAAAAATATACACCTAATTGAGGAAACGTTGTCGGGTCCAAAAAGGTCTAATCATAGAAGCTAAGACCGAAAAGGTACTTGGGAAGACAAACAATTTGGCTAATTTCATACAAACAGCTCTCCAACATAAAAGACTAGCATGCTGTTAATCTTACTAGCTCTAGTTGCTTTACCGTGCACCATGTTAAACACCGTATATGCAAATGTAATCCCAATTTAGTGGTACTCAAAATCCCTTTCGGTCTTAGCTTCTATGATGTGACCTTTTCGAACACGACTACGTTTTTTCAATTAGGTGTA